TCATGATATAACAGGTAAAATCTAAACCATCTTTATATATATAAAACATAATAAATATATATACATATAATAAAGTTAATATACATTTTCAATATACATTATATATATATATATATATTGAAGTATACATTTATATATACATTATATATATATATATACACTTAAATATGTATAGGCCTATAAATCATGATATAACAGGTAAAATCTAAACCATCTTTATATAAAAAATAATAAGAAGCGAATACCATATATATGGACTTTTATTGGAGAAGAATTTCGATCCATCCATCCATCGATCCATCCATCCATCCATCCATCCATCCATCCATCCATCCATCCATCCATAATTTATATTATTAATTGCGTTATTCCACTTGCTGTTCCTGGTTTTTTCCCACACCTTTAAATCACTTTATGTACAAGTATCTCATTCGAGATCCAGCAAGCTGAAAATAATGCACTGAAGAGGGCGAACACCGTGACGTCAGACACGTTCGAGGAAGGAATAATGACCTGCGAAATGTGTATGATTGTATATACGATATGTTCAACATAATTATATTATAATTGTATACGGTATATATAAAAATAATAAGAAACGAATACCATATAAATAAATTTATACATACATATATATAATGTTTAAAAAACAATATTTCGATCTCTCCATATTTATATTTAAATAAGGTATATATATATATATATATATATATATATATATATAAAGATAATATACATTTTCAATATACATTATATATATATATTTAAATATACATTTATATATACATTATATGCATATATGTATATATTTAAATAGGCATAGGCCTATAAATCGTGATATAACAGGTAAAATCTAAACCATATTAAAATATAATTTAAAAAAAGAAGCAAATACTTATGTATGGACTTCAGAAACACTTTATTTGAGAACATATTCGACCTATCAGTATATTTAATAGGCCTATACACACATTATATATATTCACACATATATATATAGGCCTATATATATAATATATTTAATATGCCTATAAATTATCAGTATTGTCATTATAATGTTATTATTATTATATTATTATTGTCATATCTTCATTATCATTAGTTTTATATTATGCTTTTTTTATTTTTATTATCAATATTATTTTTCAAAAAGTTGACATTGGCATCTGCTTTAATTGCTTTTTTAGTAAGCTTCTCCCGTTGAATGCATTCCAGCTTCGACTCTGTAGTATTTTGTTGGAAGTCCTCTATAATGTTGCCAAATTACGAACAGAAAGGAGTGAAATAATTCTAACTTGATAAAGATTTATTTATTCGTTGCTGTATTTATGCCTATAGCTGCAAACATGTTTCGTCGTTATACTAACAACTAATACTGTAATACTGTAGATGGAAACAATTGTAGTCCCGGCACCCCGGCCCCGGGCCATAGCGGGGCAGTAGCCGGGACTGAGCCGGGGACGTACACATAGTTGTGTCCCCGTAGTGCCGGGACGTACCTAAAATTCACCCGTAGATGTAACCGCCCTCAAAAGGGCCTAGAATTTTACACGTAGAGTAGCCGGGTTTCAGGTGTAGTGCTGTCAAATGGTCATGGTCTGGTCTACCGGTACCCGTGGTTTCATTTTTAATAGATCTAAAGAAGTATTCACCTATAATTTCAATATCGTATAGATAGAATGCAAAGTAGGTTTCAAAATATTTTGGCAAAGAAATTATGAAATTCATAAGCAAGATATATGATAATGAGATTTTATACAAATGTTTTTAAATTCTATATTTGATTGTTTTCTTGTACCTTTGTTTACATTAAATGTTAATAATCGTAAGTTAAACCAAGTATATAAATCCCTGTACCATCTGGCTGAGTTGATGTAAGAGAGGTTTAGTAATTAGCAGTTACATTTAATAATTTAACCATAGATACTAGAAAACAATTAGTTGGTAGAACAAGAGTCAAATTATAAATGAAATATTATTTTACTTTTTAAGTTATCGTATTTGAAATTCAACATACAACTTATTACGGTACGTTGTTATGTTATGATGCTGTTTATTATAATACGTTTAATTCGATAAAATATTAAATGTTAGATTTTTCTGTACTGTTTTTAATGAAATCCAGAGATGTCCGAAAGCGGAGGGGGAGAAAATTGGGCCGATAGAGATAACACTACCCGGGGTCCGGGGTTGATTTTTTTTTGTTTTGTTTTCTAGACACCCGAAAATAACCTCTGAGACGTTTTGGCCATCGTTCTTTTTTTTCGTTCATCTTTTCCTTTTTTTTTCTAAAAAAAAAAAAAAAAGGGTGGGGGGGGGGGGTGGTGTTGGTGGTGGTCGTGTTATTTCTCGAATTAAATTCTATACCTACTGTATTTAATTCAAAAGTTGATGGGTTCTGAAGTTAGTGTGTGACGCAGTTCAATTGAATTAAATACAAAACAGACTTTCATTGAGTCATGGTTGTTCTAAATTCTTTATCTTAAAAGCCACCGAATTGATGTAGTATTACTTATCTTACTTTTAATTGTTATTTATGTTTTTTGAACAAACAAAACAATTTAAAAATAACAGTCTTCGAGAAACTAACAATTTTAGAAAAAATTACTTTCAAATTATTTATATTTTCTAATTTCAAATTGGAATGAAAGAGAAATGATGATGATTACTACTAATGTTTAAATGATGATTAATGTTTGCTGCCGTCTATACATTTTTATTACTGTTTGAATGTCTGCTGCCCTCTATTGTGAAAAATGAATACAAAATGAAAGAAGAAATAATGTGAACAACATTCATAATATGTTGCGATATAATTTCTGTATTTGTAAAAAACTAAATGTTTCAGATTCAACGTCAGCATGGACCATGGTAAGTAATCAGTTAAGGATTCGAGACTAGTTATATAGGGCCAGAAAGCTAAGGCGTCTTCTTAGACTTAGGGCCCTCTGTTGTTGTGGTGTGGCAGAGCGAGCCTGAAAATTGACACCATAACCTGGGCTGACAGGCACGTGGTTTGGTTCAAAGTTTGAGTAAGCCTTCCTGGCTTATAGTCCGGGGGCATATGTCGAAAAATGGGCTCCCGTGGGATTTTTGTGATCATTTAATTTTTTTGGATGGAATATATACTTTGAAGTATGCTGAATCCAATCAAATGAGTCGCCAATTTTTTTTATGCACATTTTCATATGCAAATTAGTTAAAATATGCAAATTAGTTCTGAAAATGTAGGGTACTTATATCTTGGTAACCACTTGTCGTAGAGAGTTGATTCTTTCTTAAAGTTATTCAGAACATGCATGTTTCTATTTACGCTAATGAACCATTTTCTTCAAAAATGACCGGAATTGCCATTTTGCCGACCTTAGCATAAATATGCAAATTAGGGGTGGAAATATAGGGAGCTATATCTAGAAAACCACTGGTCGTACAGAGTTGCTTTTTGCAGCAAAATGTTTAAAACATGCATATTTATATTTACTATAATGGACAAT